TTATAAGCGATTCAAGATATTTTTCGCGGAAAGTTGTGATTGAAAAAATGCCAAGAGGATTATCAGAGGTTTTACGAGCTAGAATAGTAACTTTGAGGGAAGAAGGATACACCACGAGAGTAATAGCACGCAGACTTGCTATATCCCAATCCTGTGTCGTGGCTACGTTGCAGAGGTATCACGGAATGGGGAATTTAGCTGACCGACCCCGCAGCGGTCGCCCAACTGTTTTGACAGCTGCCCTAAAGCGCTATATTAGATTGCTGGCAGCCCGTGATCCAACAATCAACGCCACTAAAATAAAAGCAGAAGTCAGGGCCGCCTCTGGGCTTGAAGTTAGCACGCAGACCGTTCGCAATTGCTTGCACCAGGCTGGATTACGAGCACGGAGGTCTTGGCGAGCTCTGCTCAATTCCCGGCAACGTCAACAACGAAGATTGCAGTGGGCTAGACTTCGACAAAATGAAGAAGGTGAGGACGAAAACATTTGGCAAAACTGTCTCTTCGTTGACGAATCCCGAATCAGCACTCATCCAGATAACCGACGTGTCCGTGTCTGGAGAAGGCCAGGCGACCGTCAAAGACAAAGAACTGCCACTGGAACAGTTCAGCAAGGCGGAAAATCGGTGTCCTTTTGGGGTGGCATTATGATTGGAGCTAGAACGCCTTTGATCCCGTATCGGGGCTTCATGACAGCAGACATGTACAAAGCAGTTGCTATTGATGATATCGTCAGACCATTCCGAGTAAACCATGGGCACCAATTTGTACTGGTCGATGATAATGCGCCCGCACATCGAGCTCAACGAGTCAATGCTGCTCTTCAAGAATACGATATCACACGATTAGACTGGCCTGCCGGCTCGCCCGACTTAAACCCAATAGAGCACGCGTGTGATGCTCTTAAACGAGCAGTATGGAACCGTGAGCCACGTCACCAGACAGTTCCAGAGCTCAGGGAAGCCGCTATTGAAGAATGGGATAGGTTACCCCAGGAAATGCTGGATAACTTGATCCTCAGCATGCCTAGGAGGATCTTCGCATGTATTCGAGCCAGGGGAGGAGTTATTTTATATTGAATTCACACCTTTTGATAATAAATTGTTGTTTAAGTTTAATTAAACAGTCTTTTTCTTTCTATGAAATTTCTATCACTATTACATTATGATTAATGGCTCAATTTTTAAAATAAATAATAAAAAATAGTTTTATATTTTAATTTCAAACAGGGTATTCCTATTTAAAGAAAGCATACAACATAGATTTTTTCTTGATAAAGTTAAATTTAAAGAATTATAGGAGCTTATGCTATTGATCGCAAACTTTTTTTGATGTGTGTATACCGTGGTAAGAAACCTGTAACCCTGTAGGTAATTGCTGCCTCAGTGGCCCAACGGTTACCATGCCGGACTGCCACGCAGAGGTCCCAGGTTCGATTCCCGGGCCGGGAGAAATATTTGTATGACCTACATTTATTTCTCTCGTGAGTTTGGGTGTAATTTGTGGTTGTCTATGTGTGTGTCCATGGCACCCGCGACACAGGGTTTCCCTAGTGCGGGGCTATGTTGAGTGTGTGCGTTATTATAAAAAAAAAAAAAAAAAAATTAGTGATAATGATACCTAGTTACTTCTAAGACAAAGTAGCTATAAGGTATGGTAAGTACTTAGGCACTAATAAATATTGAATTAAATTATTTTTTTGACTCGTTTCAGTCAACCGTGACCATGCGACCTATAAAAAGCTCGAAGCGTTGGTTTGTTTTGAAAAAAAAAAAAACAAATATATGCGAGTTACAGAATTTCTTACTGCCTTACCATACCTTATAGCTACTTTGATACTTACCCAGTTGCTTTGAAATTGCGAAAACCTATAAGAAATATACTTTCGATTTTTTTTGCTTTAAGTAGATAGAGGTTAATCGAACATCTATCAGCGTCATAGTTCCACACTAAGGTACATCGGACACGTATCTATTGAAATAATATTTTACGTGAATCCAGGAAGGTACCTATAAGTAATCCCCTATTTGACGAAGAGATCCGATACGATGCTATCATTGTGTTCGCAAAATGGAAGGTTTAATATCAGTAAATCTATATGAGTACCACCTATACCTACTTAGTTGACGATATAACTCTTTTGTGTGAGTAATAATTTTCTCGTTCACATGAAAACTTTCCAGACGGAATGCAATATTGGCCTAACAAGTGCTTGATATCAACTATTTAGAAATCTAGCAATTTAATTAATTTGCTAATATTCCTGTTAGAAACTTTGAAGAGCTATCGAGAATCTATCTCGATATCTCCAATGAACACTACGCCAACATAATTTTTGGACCTTTTCTGTTTTGTTTTGTTTTTTGTTTCTTTATTTTTTTTTCACATAAATTGTATTTTTATTTTTTGTCGAATTTTGTTTTTTGTTTTTTTTATTTTTTTTCACAAAATTCGGGGACCACAATATTAGGTAGTAAATAAATGTGGCTGTTTACAAAAAAAAGCAGAAATTGACCACAAAATAAAGTTGGCGTAGTGTCCATTAGAGGTATAGATCTTCTAGGCCCACAACCTAATCAAAACTTTGAAAATTAATATAGGTAGTTTATCTCAAGTTTCGATTGTTTCAGTTCGATGTTTGTATATTCAAATACAGCTAACATAAATTTACTAAATTATCATTAAGCAGCCTTGAATTAAAGTGTATTATAATATACTTATGAGTAGCTTAATAAGGCTGAGTTTGCTTCGACTAAGCAAAAATGGCTAGCTAAGCAAGCTTTGGTTATTAAAAAATGAACACCGCCTACGTTTAAGCAAGAAATTACGAAGGAAACTCAAAACAGGAAAATGAAGCATTTTTCTTTATAATATCAAGTGACGATACGAACAAGTCGTAAGCCTGATGGTAAGCTACACGCCTGTCCATAACAGTTACAGTGTCACTCAGAGCTTTAAATCGCAAAGATCTGAGAGGCACTGCCACTGCGCCCGTCACGCTGAGACATGAGTACTGGTGAAAGTGCCTGTAAATTCACCAGCACCCTTACCCTTCAAAACCGGAACACAGCAATGCTGACATCACTGCTCGGCGGCAGAAATAGGCAAGGTAGCAGTACTTCCTTGGACAAACTCTTTCACAAGGAGCTCTACTGCTCCTAAAGCATGCTGGCAAAAGCTAGCGTATTAGGTAGGTACTGTAGTCTAGGCTCTACTCTATGAGTAGAACTACTGGCTGAATGAATATAGATTTGTGTTTGGAATGTATTTAAAAAAATAGAATAGAAAAAAGAAGAACGTCTTGGCAGTTCTAGAAGAAACTTCCATGAATGAATCAATATGTAAAATACGTAATAAATATCTATTTGTGAAGATAATCCCAGTTTATATTTAAAAGTACCTCTCGCTTCGCTACTTGAGCTACGTCCTATGCTATAAATATAGTCTAGGCTCTATGAGTAGAAATACTGGCTGAATGAATATAGATTTGTGTTTGGAATGTATTTAAAAAAACAGGATAGAAAAAAGAAGAACATCTTGGCAGAGCTTCCATGAATCAATATGTAAAATACGTAATAAATATCTATTTATGAAGATAATCCCAGTTTATATTTAAAAGTATCTCTCACTACGCTATCTGAGCTACGTCCTATGCTATAGTACCAAGGTACCTATTTACATACGACTTAAAGTTGAGTCTTATCCTTCTTAATTAAAAGTAAATTTTACTGAGTATAAAACAACACAGCGTCTAATGAATTCCAAAACTATAAAACCACGTGAACGTACGGTTGCCGAGTAGGTATGGCATAAATATTTGTGTTTCATTTTGCGAGCAAACGATGTTTTTAATCCCCGCCGTACGTCCATTATCGCCCTGCCAATGTATGGCTTTCGGTGGATTTAACTCTCAATTTTGATGGCGGCACTACATGTTAATATTTCATGTCTCTATGTGGATAGGTTACACTGTAGCTATAAACACTGCTGCTGATAGGTCGTAAAGGCCAGTGGCATATGCAACAGTTGCCCCGGGATAGCGCCGCCATTGCTTAATCTCCATAGTAGGTACCTAAACTTCCAATTAAACAGTTTACCCTCTTATGATCTCACGATTGGGTATAGGTATTAATAATAACGCGCACACTCATAGCCCCGCACTAGGGAAACCCTGTATCGCGGGTGTCATGGACACACACACACACATAGACAACCACAAATTACACCCAAACTCACGAGAGATAAATATAGGCCATACATTGACCAATGAGGCCATACAAATATTTCTCTCGGTCCGGGAATCGAAAGCGGAACCTATCGATGGCAATCCAGCATGGTAATCATTCGACCACAGAGGCAGTTTAGGTAAATAGGTAGGTATAGGTATTGTCTCCGAATCGGAGAGGAGACTCCGATATGGTGTTCGAAAAGTTTTAACTTGCTTCAAAACAATTGTTCGTATTTGCAAAGCGGATGAAAACTGAATATTCAGGATATTTTATAACAAGATCTGTCAAGGCAAATGGAAATAAATGGTGAACTAAAATTTTCTCTGCAATTTCTTTCGTTTCGTTTTCGGTTGCAACGAAGACAATAATAATGCTTGCTCGATATGAAGGCAGAATTTTTAAAATCTGCAGCGTATCGCAAAAGGCGGTCTGCGTCCAGTTTGTCTCGCAAACGAGAGCGTCCAATAAAAACACGTCATGATCATATGCATTGGAAGGGATGTGAATTCGCAATTCACCAAATGTGTCTAACTATCAATTCTCACTGTTTTATCGCAAGTTTCTATACTATTCATCAACTTCCAATTGCCGGGTATAAGAACACTATATGGGAACATACGAGTACATAGTGGTTAAACCATTAGTTTTTACCTAGCGTTAATGTAATAAAATAGTTAATGTTTTTGAAATTGAATAAATAAAAAAATAAAAATAAAAAGTTGGAAAATCTCATTTGATTGTTTATTATTATTTTATTTAATATGTGAAAAGTGACAATTTTCATGAACTTATAGTCCCACAAAACTGTAAAGTAAGACTGCAAGATCAAAAAAGCCTCGCTTTTACAAAGATTATAAATCGATATTTACATTGGGTACATAAAGACACTTACATCCTAAAATGTATTAAGTGTAGGTACTTCTATCACAAATTGCCTTTAATTTTTTTTTTCGTTTACCTTTGTGGTTTCTAGTATAATAAATAACCTACGAGTAAATTGCCTTATAGTATGTAACACATTGCTTTGACGATTATATTTGTATATTGAATATGGTAAGAAGTGAAAATACGAGTAAATGCAAAAAGTACAACACTTCGGAACTGTCTACGGACTCTATTCTCTCTATTATGTTCTTATACTAAGTTATAGAGACATCAGACTGTTGGGAGCTTGTTTTGTATACAGGGTGTAATCGTTAAGTGTACTCAGGCGATCATTCCGTAAATATATAAGATATCAAAAACCTTTACTCATATGGAAAGTAGATACGTTACCTAATGAATAAAACAACATCACCTTTTTAAAATAAAACTAGAAATATTCAAAATTTTAACGTTATACGCTCCCAAACATTTAATATGACATTCGTAGAGAGGCTAAATGTTTCTAAACGAAACTAAAAATTTTCTAAGAGGTCTAGTCGTGTAAACGTTATTGTGTGACTTAGGATTCATTCATTGTTGTTACCTTAATCACACGTCATAATTTCGTATTAATCAATAATGATTTACCGTTTTAAATTAATTGAATTGGTATATATGTAACATACCAATTAAAGTTTTTCCGTTCTATCAAAGTTTATAACAAATGAAACTGGCTGCAAAGCAACTTACAAGTACAATTTACGTTTTAAAACTCGTTCAAAATTCAAAACATTTATCGCGTTTTTTCCAATTCCCGCCGCTGTTTAAAATATGTGTTTAAAACGTACTCGTGATTGTAATAAAAATGGCATATTGAATAGAAATAAAAAAGATAAGTTGAAATTTTATTACAAATATGATTCTAACAGAAGAGTGGCTATTAACGCCTGCAGAAGAAACTCGAAGTGAATTTCTAGTGAATTTTAACATTTGGTAGTAGCAGTCTAGTCCGCACCGGACGTTTCGATATTTCCGCCAGCAAATGAAGCCATTCAGCTGAATAAATAATGTACTAGCTCTGAACAATTTGTGGGAAATCGATGACACAAGTATATTTTTCTATAAATGTCCTTAGGGAATCATTTGTGCACACGTCGAAAACTTTATTTATATTGCACCCCTATACACATCTATGATACTGTGCAACCAGGTTTTCATTTATTATATTTTTTGGTAGTGTATGTTAATGGAATAATATGTCTATGGGACTACAAAACTCAGGAAATTACAAAAAATATTCTTCATTACACAAAATTCTATTTAAAACTTAAATTAGTAATTATAATTAGGTTCAGGCGGGTGGTGCGGGGGGAAAGGAGGATGGCCGAAGGGAGGTGGACCACGCGGGGGGAACTGTGGCCTGAAGTTTGGCGGCGGTGGTCGCCATGGAGGTGGGGGGCGAGCGCCTGGTGGAGGAGGCGGTCCAAAACCAGGTGGTCCGAACGGGGGTGGTGGAAAGTGATGGAATGGAGGAGGAGGTGGAGGTGGTCCAGGTGGCGGAGGCGGTCCAGGAGGAGGCATTGACGATGGCGGCGGGGGTGGTGCAGTCATTGGTAACGGAGGAGGTGGTCTCGCGTTCATAGGACCTGGCGGCATGGGCTGCGGCGTCGGCGGCGGTGGTGGTGCCATCAATACAGGCCCCAACATGGTTGGTGGAGCATCCGCGAACAACTGGTGAGGACGATCTGCATGCGATAGCGGATTTTGTGCGGCGAGCAATCTGCAGTTGAAATATTAACATTTAGTTGTTTCTTAAAAAGTCGCTAAGCAATTTGTCATACATAAAGAAACATTATGTGGTACAGAATCTTATCATATTTTGGCCAACGATTATTTTGGTTATGTAAAATTTCTATAAAAGATTTAGGTTGTAGATCGCCATGAGGACCAAAGCACATCTTCAAACTAACTTCTAACCTTTCAGCAGCAGAACCATGTCTCTCTCCTTTAACATCCTTCTTGAAAGCATATGATACGGAAATAGGTCTGTTGCACAAATACTGGTTGTTCATTGCCTCTATAGCAGCATCGGAGGCCTCAAAAGAAGCAAAGTTGATGAATGCAAATGCTTTGGAGTTGCCTGTTTCTGGGTCTCTCATTACCTGAAATTAAAACAACATTTATTTGACATCAAGTGAATGTTGTGCAAATTAATAAATAGAAAGGTGCCATATGAAACATCTACAAACTCATTACTAACAAAATGGAATGGGAAACTCACCTTAGGTGTTTGCAATATAACTCCAAATGCAGAGAATGTGTCATATAAAAGTTTTTCATCCACTTCTGGGTCCAAGTTTCCTATGAAGATATTGGCCCCTACATCGAGATTCTTCTGATGTGCTGATGCTTTATTTACTCTAACAGGTTTACCATATAGCTTTATCATATTCATTACCTAAAATTGAGAAGAACAATATGAAAAAAATAACAGACATTACGAGCTATTGACATTTATAGCATATATTGACTTTGTAGTTTGCGATTACTACAATTTGGAAATTAAACTCATTTCTGGAGATTCAGAACAAAAACTGATAGATCCATGATAGAGAATAAGTTTCATTCAAATTTTGTTTAGTCACATTAAAAGGATTTATCACAGTTTAGAACTGTGTATTTGAAACATATTTGTAAAGCGGATTTAACAGTTGCTGTTCAGGTTGAATTGATTATTCATAGAAACGTCCAAAAATTATCTTATCAAAAAAAAATGTGACTAAGTTGTTTTGGTTCTGATGCCCCAAATTTCAGATCGAAATTGCATATTTATATTTCTTTTGCCACAATGATGGACAAAATCCATGGAACAGACCTTGAAACGTTGGTTTAATTGAATAAACAAAATGTGACTAAGATCAGAAAAAAGTTTAATTTTTAATTTATAGCATAGTACCACAAATAGACACCATAAGTAAACAACTTGACCATTTTAATATTAACATTGACCAGTTGTTGAGAATGAAGACACAATATCGAACAAATTTAATGAAAAAACAAAACTTTTTACCAAACTATTGAAATTAACATAGAACTACCTATTAATTAATTAACATGCATTTATATACCTACAACATTATTATTAACAAACACAATAACCTACGCAATTGGTGCGCAGTGTATGCACATATGTACATAATTGTATCATATATAAATAAACACAAGTCCATCAGACCTAGTCAAATAAATTACAGCATTTTCATTCACTTCAACATCCACTGTCAACTAGAGAGATAATGTAATATTACAAATAAAATGTTGAGTTACCTTTATAGCATAATCAGCATCTTCCTCACCCATGAACTCAACAAATCCATATCCCTGATGTGTCTGTGTGACACGATCCTTTGGCATGTGTACATTAACTGAAATATAAAAGAAATAACAATACTTTGCTAAATAATAGTGAAGGTGTCACTGTACAGGAAAACAAAATATAAAAATGTATTTTGATACCATCATCGTGAGATGTCGGGGAATTCTTTTCAAAAAATTTGTTTGCACCTTCTTAAGTACACTAGCAACACTACAACTAAAATGTTATGAAATACAAAAAAAATTGAGAATTTCTTGAAGTTTAGTGCTTCTATTTTTGCAATGTCCCTGAACAGACCGGGCGCTTTCAGTCGACTTAGAAGTATATAGAGTTGCTATTACATTTTTTATTTATTATCCAATGGGAGGAAAGCGGTTAAAGTCACAGTCACGACAAAGAATTTACAGAGTGTACTTGTACTTTTTACAAGCACTTGAAATGTTTAGGAAAAACAACAATGATCATTTTCAAAATGACCAAAAACGTGTGTCAGTAGCTTGTGGTGTTTCAATCGGAATAGTAACGAATATTTTAAAATATGATAAAAAAGATAAATCAGTCATTTTCCTTTCCTTTACTTTATATGTTTGTACATGACATGGAGTAAATGTTTTTAAAAATAGGGAAATAGTTTTACAGCTCTGTATAGTTCACATGGAAATCAAAACAAAACAATGAAGTATGTTGTCCAAAATTCAAATTATTATAGATTTTAAATGTAATAATAAATGGGCATGGAATTGGCACTGTTCGTACAGAATTGTCATTTTTGGAGAAGGAATAGTGACTTACCGACGGGTCCAGCTTGTACAAAAAGCTCCCATAGCAAGCCCTCTGTAACTCTATCGTCCAAACCACCAACGTAAATCGTGGCATCTGAAACACGAAAACAACGCTATCACTTAGTACAAAAAACTTACTTTTTTTGACGTTCAATTATAACTAGACATAAATCAATGAAAGAAAGATTGTTAAGGTGAACATTTATACACACTTTGTATTTTTAAAGTAGCAAAATAATTCAAAATTAAGTTAAAATACGAAGTTTGTCCAAATAACCTCACTACTTTGAGTACGACGTTGGGAACGAAGAAATGTTAGATTACAGTATTTAATATGTCCAGAATTAAGTAAGGAAGCGAAAAATAAGCAGGAAAGCGATATCAAACAAGTAATATCAGATAAATACCTTGATTTCTCTCGGCAATTGGCCCTGCAGCCATTTTGACAGTGAAATATTGGTTTGGTTTTGTTTGGTCTGTGTCTGTGGCCTGTGTCACTGACTAGAGATGGGAAAAACTGCTTATTTTTTTAAACGTTTTAGCGTTATGCTTTTTTAAAAAAGCGTGCTTTTTTAGACGCTTTTTAGTTTGAAGCTAACAAAACCGTTTAGAAAACGTTTAAGCGTATAGACTTTTATGTTAAAGAAAGCTTGCAACGTTTGTGTTGATAGCGAAACACAAGAGTAGACCACTAAAGATTTTAAGATAAGAAATTTTTTTTTGTAAAAAACGAGTTTTATTTTTATTTAAGACATAACATTGTTGTATATTAATACAACAATGTTATTTTGTTCATTGGCGTTTAAAAGCATTCAAAAACATAAGTTGTGTAACTTTTGTAGTTATTAACCGTTGAAATGGATAAAACTGCTTATTTTGTTAACGTTAAAGAGTACGTTTAAAATGCGTAC